GTCCAGACACTGCTTCCGACTACCGTATTCTGGCTACTGTTGTGTATTGAGTCAAAGGATTTTATATCTGTATTATTATTGTCTGTATTTGCATTAGGGTAAAGTAACTGCCTTTTGGTTCCAGAGGGTACAGCTACTATTGGTTCATTTAAGCTGCTGTATTTGGATCCTCTGTCTTATTGGTTCCCTCCAAAAGGCAGGACTGTGATTGCCTGATATTGTTCCCTCCAAAATGTATCCTTTCTTGCTAGTTCCCTGTCCCTATAAATGTAGCTTTCCTCTCCCCAGTCGTCAGTCTTGTTGCTTTAATAAAGAAGTGTTACTAGAGAACTGTCTCCAGCATGTTATATCAGGAGAGCTGAAATCACAAACCCCACGTCACAACAACTGGCGACGAGGATGGGATCCGGAATGCTGAGGAGCGGTTAAACGCAGCCCTGCCTCAGAGTCCGGATTGCAGCTAAGAACAAGACTCACTGGCCAGCTGAGAAGACGACCCTGCCACAGGACAATGGAGAGTCCAAGGGTATTGGAGCCCTTCCAGCCATCAGAGCCCGACACGTGGGAAGACTACGTCGAACGCTTCGAGTTCTTCGCAGAGGCTCAAGGGATCACCGATGCCAGCAAAAGAAGGGCCACATTCCTGAGCTACTGTGGGCCTGAGACCTTCAAGCTGGCCAAGGCATTGCTTGCTCCAGCGAAGCTAAGTGAGACATCTCTCAAAGATATTCTTGCCTGGCCTGACAAGCCACTTGGCGCCTACTGAGACCAAGATGGCTCGGCGGATGGAGTTTCATAAGAGGCAGCAGCATGCTGGGAGTCTGTATCTGCATTTCTGGCTGAACTGCGGAAGCTCGCTCAGCACTGCGACTTCCAAAATCTGGAAGAGACTCTCCTGGATCGGTTTATCGGTGGTCTGAGCAGCAAGAAGGCCAGAAGACGCATCGTGGCTAAAGAAGAGGTTACCCTTGCTTCAGCCTTGAAGGAGGCCACCGCCACGGAGAATTATGAAAGAGAGGAGCTTGATGCCAGTCGCAAGGCCCCTAAGCCACAGATAGAAGTTGCGCATGCCATGGACGAGCTAGAGGCTACTCCGAGCCAGAGCCCAGTCCGTGGGGTCGAGTCAGTGAGTCAGGCCTGCACAGTGCACAAAGATCACCGAGGCAGGTGCCCAGGTTGTGGCGGAAACCATGAGCGGAAGAGTTGTCGTTTCCGGGATGCTATGTGCCGGACGTGCGGGAAGACAGGTCACATCGCCAGGGTCTGTAGATCGGCGGCGTTGGGAGCGACAGGAGCACCTAGACCGGAGCATCGCAGACCGCCCGCAGCAACCCATTTTCTAAAGGACTGCCACTACGTTACGGAGATCAACGGGAGGGTCGTGCAGTTCCCAGCACAAGGCAAGGCACACGTCAAGGTGAAGATTGAGGGTCAGCAGTGCGACATGGAGGTGGACTCCGGATCTGGATTCACTATCGTGTCGGACCAGACCGCGAGGACATTCTTCCCCAGGGGTAAGTTGCCCCCTCTGGAACCCTTCCCGGCAACCTTGCAGTCATACTCAGCGGGCCGCATCCATGTTATGGGAATGTGTGCCGTGAGAGTACAGTTCCGGGACAAACAGGCTGTACTCAAACTGGTGATTGCGAAGGGCAGTCGCCCCAGTCTCCTGGGCACTGACTGGTTCCCCGCCCTGGGACTGAGTATATCAGGGCTTAATTCAATCCAAACCTGCCCTGAGATGAGCGAGGCATTATGCAAAGAATTTGCTGGTCTCTTTAATGGAAAACTGGGTTGTTATAAAGGGCCCCCAGTTGACTTTGAGTTGGACCCTGGGGTGGCCCCAATCCGACTCAAACCAAGGCGAGTGCCATTTGCACTGCAACCCAAGATCGAAGCAGAGCTGGAGAAATTGGTCAAGCAGGGAGTTCTCTCACCCGTGGACTCTGCTAAGTGGGAGACTCCAATCGTCACGCCCCTTAAAGCAAATGGGGAAGTCAGGATCTGTGCAGATTACAAATGTACTATCAATAAGGCACTCGGGAAACTCATACCCCATTCCAGTCGTATCACATCTGTTGGCTAAACTGGCTGGGGGCAAGGTGTTCGCCAAAATTGACCTGGCACAAGCTTACCAACAGCTGCCAGTAACCCCACAATCAGCGGAAGCACAGACTATTGTCACACATAAAGGCGTTCAGAGTTAACAGATTACAATTTGGAGTTTGTGTGGCCCCAGGGATTTTTCAAGGGCTCATGGAACACCTGTTAAGAGGTCTGCCGGGGGTCTTGCCATTTTTGATGACGTTTTGATTGCTGGAAAAGACCCACAGGAACTGGTTGCGCGTGTTCGTGCAGTGTTGCTCAAGTTCAAGGAGGTGGGGTTGCAACTGAAAAAGGAAAAATGCAGTTTTGGGGTGCCAACTGTGGATTTCTTGGGGTTTAAAATTGATGCATCAGGCATCCACCCCACAGATGCTAAGATTAAGGCCATCATCGAGGCGCCACGACCACAGAACAAGACGGAGTTGCAGTCATTCCTGGGACTTATTAACTTTTATCATTCGTTCTTACCCCAGAAAGCTTCGGTAGCTGAACCATTACATAGACTGTTGCAGAAAAAGACTGTGTGGCGATGGGGGCAGGGGCAGCAGAAGGCTTTTGACTCCTTGCGAGGAATGCTGAGTAGCAGGAGTGTCCTTGCTCATTATGACGAGTCAAAGCCTCTGGTCCTGGCATGTGATGCCTCTCAATACGGCCTGGGGCGGTGCTAAGTCATAGGGAACCGGAGGGGTCGGGAAAGCCCATCTCTTTCTATTCCCGTACGTTGTCGCCCACGGAGCGCAACTATGCTCAAATTGACAAAGAGGCGCTGGCAAGTGTGGCAGGTATCAAAAGTTCCATGATTATGTGTACGGTCGCCATTTCTACATTGAAACGGACCACAAGCCACTGTTAGGGTTGTTCAACCCGAACAAACAAACGCCACAAATTCTCTCCCCCAGAATGTTACGTTGGTCTATATTCCTGAACGGGTTCCAGTACACCTTGACCCATGTGCCGGGAAACGGTTGTGCCACGCGGATGCGCTGAGTCGATTGCCCCTTCCTGGCGGGAGCACTGAGGATCCTGCTCCAGCGGAGCACATAATGATGCTGGAAACACTTCCGGGGCTCCTGTAACGGCTACTGATATAGCTGAGAAAACGAGGAAAGATGCTGTTCTCTCCCGTGTGCTCACTTGGGTGGGGAGGGGTGGCCAGGTGGTCCGCATGAAGACAAATTCAGGCCTTATGCGACTAGGCAGCACGAGTTGTCCATGCATAAGGGTTGTCTCCTGTGGGGAGATAGGGTCATCATCCCAGCACCACTGAGAAACAGGGTTCTTGAGACGCTTCACATGGGACACCCGGGAATGGTCAGGATGAAGTCGCTAGCCCGATGTTATGTGTGGTGGCCTGGAATGGACCAGAACATAGAACAATGGGTACGAACATGCAAGGCATGCCAAGAGGTGCGGCCGGAAGTGGCCAGAGCACCAGTCCACTGGTGGGAGCAGTCCAGATCTCCCTGGAGCCGGCTGCACTTAGATTTTGCTGGGCCATTCCAAGGAAAGGTCTTTTTGGTTATCGTTGATGCATATTCCAAATGGTTAGAAGTGGCGATGGTCCCTAGCATGGCATCAGCTGCCGTCATCAAGGTGTTGAGGCAGCTGTTTGCAACCCACGGGTTACCTGAGACCATTGTATCAGATAATGGGGCAGCTTTTGTATCCCAAGAATTCAGGGCATTCTTGGCTGATAACTTCATAAGAGGGGTCACATCCGCGCCCTTTCACCCATCCTCCAATGGGCAGGCTGAGCGCATGGTAAGAACAGCCAAAGAATCCATTGCGCGCTTAATGGAGGGTAACTGGTCAGCTCGCATCGCGCGAATGTTATTTTTGCAGCATGCGACGCCGTGTACCGCAACGGGCAAGTCGCCAGCTGAGCTGCTCTTGGGTAGGAGACTGGTAACGGTGCTGGATTATGTCCACCCGGATAAAATGCCAAACCATAATTCAAGAGCAACCCCCCAGGCTGAGACTGACACAACAAGGTATCTCGCCCCTGAAGATCTGGTCTGGGTGAGGAACTATTCACGAGGTTCGCGGTGGGTGGCTGGTGTGGTCACCCGGGCTAGTGGACCTGTGTCCTATTATGTGACCTTGGAAAATGGGCAAGTGTGGAAGAGACATATAGATCAGCTGAGGCGCCGGGCGCTCAGCAGGGAGGAGCCAGATAATTCATCCCAGGCTAACGACGCAGAGCCGCAAGACCAGAGTGAAAATGGCACAGAGGTGCAATCACCAGGGGCTTTAACAAATGAACCAGGGTCTGCTAGTCCTCACGATGACGAGGTACAGATAGGGGACCCTGAGATGTCGGGGACTCCATCTGTTCCTGACGAAACCCCTAGAGCAGCCCCTCTACCACAGGTAACACCCAATTCAGAACCTGCAACACCTGTTGTCAGGAGATCAAGTAAGTTGTAGGCCCCCACAGTACCTGAGAGATTACGTCTGCTGTGCTCACTAGGGGGGAAGGGGTGTTGTGTATTGAGTCAAAGGATTTTATATCTGTATTATTATTGTCTGTATTTGCATTAGGGTAAAGTAATTGCCTTTTGGTTCCAGAGGGTACAGCTACTATTGGTTCATTTAAGCTGCTGTATTTGGATCCTCTGTCTTATTGGTTCCCTCCAAAAGGCAGGACTGTGATTGCCTGATATTGTTCCCTCCAAAATGTATCCTTTCTTGCTAGTTCCCTGTCCCTATAAATGTAGCTTTCCTCTCCCCAGTCGTCAGTCTTGTTGCTTTAATAAAGAAGTGTTACTAGAGAACTGTCTCCAGCATGTTATATCAGGAGAGCTGAAATCACAAACCCCACGTCACAACAGCTACGTCCAGGAAATTCCGGACTTATGGCAACCCTGTTTTGTGTAGACCTGAAAACCGCCTTTGATGCGTAGATGCCTGGCTCTTGTTTCATCGTAAGCAGCCCCGGGATTCCTTGTCTGGCACAGTTCTGTAGCTTGCATTTCCCCTCCCTATCCTAAATATTAGCTAGTTTCTGACATTCAGTCAATTTATTCAGTTTTTTGGGGGGGGTCTCTCCTCCCCCCAACTTATAGCAATAGGAAAGAGAAGATAGCAAAACAGAAGGCATTATGCAGTATCCATGCAGACACGAGACATGAACGCAGCATAAATATTGTAGGAAGACTTCTACATATTTGGAAAAGAAAATGCTGCAGTAATTACTGTAGTATGTGTGCCCGACAGAAATGCTCCCCCCCCTCCCAAAAAAATCCCCATTCTTGCTTTTTCTGGCATTGTGGATCCATCTTCGGAGCCAAGAGCAATCTGTTTTTTAAATCTCAAGGACTGGATCTCCTCACAGTGTACATTCTCTAATGGTGTCTTAATATAACCTACTGATAACTCTCTCTCTCTCTCAAAAGAAAGGAAAATATGTTTGTAACACTATTTTTGCACAGGGGAGCTAACCAAAATCTTGGGGTGGGGATAAGTGGGGGTGGGTCTCAACTCTGCCCGTTTTATATCCATCATGTTGATTTTAATTTTTTGCATTGCAGAACAATATTGTTAGGCATTTTTGTTTGTTTGTTTTCTTAAAAAAAATAATTAAAGTTTGCCTACTTGGGGGGGGGGATGTTAATCTTAATACCCTTGTGAAATATACTCGGAGTCGAGAGTGGATTTCATGCTCTTTGTTCAGCTCATAGTGGTGAGGAGGAATGGAAGTTCCCCCAGAATGTCTGCTTTTTATACGTTATTTACACAATGGGCCCCACGTGATTGGCTAATTCCGGGATTCTCCTGTAGGCCAATCAGGTTGCGGATTCACTTCCACCTGGAGCTGGATTGGGTGGCTCCTGTGAACCAATCAGACTGCTGCATTCTGAATCCTATTGTTCTAGGACCAATCAGACTGCTGCATTCTGGACCCTATTCAACTCAGTACATAAACACCTTGCATTCTTAGCATGAGTGTGCCATATGAAAAGAGATCTAATATGATTATAAAGGTAAAGGTACCCCTGCCCGTACGGGCCAGTCGTGTCCGACTCTAGGGTGGTGCGCCCATCTCACTTAAGAGGCCGAGGGCCAGCGCTGTCCGGAGACACTTCCGGGTCACGTGGCCAGCGTGACGAAGCTGCTCTGGCGAGCCAGCACCAGCACAGCACACGGAAACGCCGTTTACCTCCCCGCTAGAAAGCAGTACCTATTTATCTACTTGCACTTAGGGGTGCTTTCGAACTGCTAGGTGGGCAGGCGCTGGGACCGAAAGACGGGAGCTCGCCCCGCCGCGGGGATTCAAACCGCCGACCATGCGATCGGCAAGTCCTAGGCACTGATGTTTTACCCACAGCGCCACCCGCATCCCTCTAATATGATTAAAATGTGTTAAAATACAATCACGAACGTATCAAGATACAATATTAAAAGCAGTTTCAAACAACTTATGCATCTTGTAGATAACCTGGTAGAGAGGAGAGGAGGGGAGAGTCCATGAACCATGGGGCATTTTCTCCCTAGAGATGTGGGAAAACATAGTTGTCCTTATTAGGAAAGCGACTTGAAAATAAAACAGCCAATATGCCTTTGGTTCCATATTTCACCTCCTTTTTTTGATGATTCCTATTGGGAGGCTACCAACAACAGCAAAATTTCTCCATTTTCATGGTTCCCTTCCCTATCCAAAGTGAGAGACAGTGTTGCTCAGTGGTTAGAGCGCTGGACTAGGACCTGGGAGACCAGGGTTCGAATCCTCCCACCCCCCCTTAGTCATGAAGCTCACTGGGTGGTCTTGGGCCAGTTATTCGCTCTCAGCCTAACCTACCTCACAAGGTAAGGGTAAAATGAGAAGAGGGAGAACTACGTTTGCCACCTTGACTTCACTGGTGGAAAAGTGGGATATAGTTGCAATTAATAATAATAACAATACGCAAAAAGGGATCTTCTTTGGGATCTTGACTCCTCACCCCCATCAACTGTGGTCTAATTGTGATGTTCTCTGGGACCTCCGCCATTTCCACATGCGCTGGGATTCGGACTCGGATGCTGAACCTGAGGGATCCCAGCCTGCACAGGAGTCCCCACCTCCAGAACCAGCTGAGCCAGGGCTGGGGCTTGAGCCTGAAGGGCCCTCACCTGTGCTGGATCCTCAGGTGCAGGCATCAGCTGAGTCTGCTCTGGCTCCTGAGGTGATGGAGGACCCATTGCCTGCAGGTGCGTCTCTCTCAGCCCCGTCAGAGGAAGCTGAGGTTGCCTCTGGGTCCAGTCACCCTCCAGCCTCTCCTGAGCTGCAGAGGCTCAGGGCAGAGAGGCGGAGGGAACTAAGTTCCCGCAGGAGGAGTGCTTGCCTCCAGGCCAGGAGAGGCGAGTCACCTGAGGATCAGGCCCGCCCTGTGCCTCGGGGCAGATAAAAGCCAGCCAGCCCCAGTCCCAAGTTGCGGGAGCAGCATTGCTGGTTGCTAGTTCCTGCCTGAACCCTGTCCTGCTCTCCTGCCTGAGCTCCTGACCCGCCCTGGCTCCCTGCTTGCATGCCTGTTCCTGACTTCACCCGACTCCCTGCCCTGCACTCAGCTTCAGCTACTATGGACTGCCTCCACGTTGCACCTTTGACCACGGACCGGACTTAGACCTCGCCTCTCGGGTAACCCACGGGACCATCACAGTGCTTGTCTTGCAACGCGGCATCAGAAGAGCGACAACAAAATACTGTTTTGCCCCAAAGAGAGAAATAGCTGCTGCTTTCCCCCCCAGCTCTGCTCAAGATCTCCTGCAGGGAAGATCCTGCCAGGTGTATTTGTCATCCCTGATGACGGAAGCTAAGCCAACATGTCTGGGGTGACTGCCCTGCTCCACGAGAAGGTGAGAAATTGAATTGTAATGACAGTCCAGCCGACAAGCCAGGAAGAGACGGAGGCCCTTTTCTCTGTTTTTCAGAGAATGGTGCTGGCCTGAGGTCAGACGGAGAGTTCATAAGTGTACCATCCAAGCACGTACATAGATCAGCACAGGAAGACCAACATGAAACCATTTTTTATTCCCAAACTGACCAAATGTTTTCTTTGCAAGGTCAAAGGAAAATGAAAAAGCCTCCCCATTGTCTTTTCCTTCACAAATCCTGTCTTAAGGGCACATTTAAGATATGAATAGGGGTGAGCCTGTGACCTGGCTCAGGAACTAAGTATTTGTCATTACAAAAGACTGGCCAGGCTCCCCAGGGTATCCAATCAAGTAAGCATTAACAGGTAACTTGCCAGACAGAAGGTAAACAACCCACTCAGATTATAAGGTAAACAAAGCACTCAGATTTCTGCTGTAGACCGCCCTTTCTGTGATGTAGGTATGATGTTTCTGGGGGTGGTCTTGGACTCCAAGGCGGGCAATTTAAAATGTCTATATAAGGGCTTGCACACCATTGTTCTGGGTTCCTCCTCGCTCCTGCGTGTGGTGAGTGAGGACCCTGTTGCAACAGCTCAATAAAGATCAGGCTTACTAGCTGCTTTGCTTCTCAATATTCTCTGGTTGGCCTCTCTTATTTTCTCCTACCAATAGGGAACCCACTTAAGGACTCTATATGAGCTCTTGGATACCCCATAAGGGAAGAAAGGGCAGATTTTTGTTTACAACATGGGTATATTGTGGCTTTCCAGGAGCTCAGAAACCACCACCCTGGGCTTGCAGTCGTAGAATCATCGAGTTGTAGAGTGGGAAGGGACCCCAAAGGTCCTCTAGTCCAGCCCCCTGCGATGCAGGAATCTCAACCAAAGCATCCCTGACTGATGGCCATCCAGCCTCTGCTCAAAAACCTCCAAGGAAGGAGAGGCCACCACCTCCAGAGGAGATTTATACAGCCTGTAGTGGACTTCTGAGTATGGCTGGTCAACTGCCCTTGACCGGACAGGTCACCGCTGGTGGTGCAAGGCTCAAGCTGGACTCCGTGGCAGCCTCATCACAGACCTTTCGGTAAACAGCCTGCAGACTGATGGAAACAGTAGCCATAGCCACTGCCGTCATAGAAGAATGTTGTATTAGTGCTTGCACGTTGATAGAATAATAATTCACAATAATAAGATTAGATTGTTGCATTGTATGCTCCTTGGTGCGGGACCTATCCTCTTAAATTTCGCAATGCACTTGCACACTGATGGAATAAATAACAAGAACTTGTTTCTCATAGCACGTTAGCTGTTGCCTCGCAGCATAGTGTTCATGAGTTCTGTTGAGTGGCTGGGGAAACCCAGCCAGATGGGCAGGGTACAAAGATGATGATGATGAATCATGCAACGTGAAGACAGGCAATGTCAACCCCGCCATGTGCAGAACCAGTAAGGTCCTGCATCCACAGCAGCAAGCAGAGGAGGAATGACTGCTGGGAAGAGCGCAGAGAGGAGGAGAATTGCCCTGGTGTATCTGCAGCAGCACAACTGGATGCCTTCCTCTGCCCCAGCTGCAACAAAACATGTCTCTCCCCTATCGGTCTCTTCAGCCACTGCAGGCACAGTAACTCTCCAATGGTCGTCTTCTTCACCCTCAAAGGCACACTCCTCCATTCTCTGCTGAGACAACACTAACGTGGTGTTCTGGGTCTCCTTCCAGAACCTGCAACCCTGTATCTGTCCAGGCAGAATGTAAAAGAGCAAGCAGGCCTTTTGTTAAGGTAATAGCTTTCAGTTCCCAGTTAAATGCACATCAGCATCTCAAAGGATGAGCTGAGCACTGTTGCACTCCAGGAAGGTGGGGTTAGCATTTTCCCCCATGAATGGAAGCCATGTGGTCCTAAAGGTAAAGGTAAAGGGACCCCTGACCACTAGGTCCAGTTGCGGACGACTCTGGGGATGCGGCGCTCATCTCGCTTTACTGGCCGAGGGAGCTGGCGTACAGCTTCCGGGTCGTGTGGCCAGCAGGACTAAGCCGCTTCTGGAGAACCAGAGCAGCGCATGAAAACGCCGTTCACCTTCCTGCTGGAGTGGTACCTATTTATCTACTTGCACTTTGACATGCTTTCGAACTGCTAGGTTGGCAGGAGCAGGGACCAAGCAATGGGAGCTCACCCCGTCGCAGGGATTCGAACCGCCGACCTTCAGATCGGCAAGCCCTAGGCTCTGTGGTTTAACCCACAGCACCACCTGCGTCCCTATGTGGTCCTAGGAAGAAGATAAAATAGCCAGAGAAGTTGTGGGGTTGGGGAGCAGAAAAGCTGAGTGCTAGAAGCTGCAAACAGAGAGATACATTTTGCTCTGTGCTGGATCCAGAGCTGTGACAAATGGAGAAGCGAGATCTGTTGGGGTGTCAGTGCTGGGAGCCCCTCTGTCCAGTGCATATATGTGTAAATAAAATCATATATCCTAAAGACGCCACAGACTCCAGTGACCTTCATTCCAAGGAAACCAACATAAGGAGAGGCTGCAGGATCAGGCCAGTGGCCCCGTCTAGTCCAGCATCTTCTTCCCAAAGTGGCCAACCAGATAATAATAATAATAAATAATAAATTTTTATTTATACTCCACCCTTCCTGGTTCAAAAACCAGGCTCAGGGCGGCTAACAACAAATTTAAAACACTTAGTTGTAAAAGCAGCATAAAATACAGTATAAAAACATGAATAAAAATTCAGAAATCAATTTAGGGGAAATCCATCTAATAAGCATTAGATAATCCCCAGGGCTAGCTGGCTGAATTAGTCCTATCTGGGCCAGCGAGGAGGCCAGGGGAGAATTAGCTGTGGGGTCTCAGAGCAGGTAATCTTCATAAAAGGGGAGGGGGAGGGAAGGGAAATAAAAGATGTCTGTGGGAAACCAGCAAGCAGGATTCAAACACAAGGGCAACTCTCCCCTCCTGTGGTCTCCAGCAACTGGGATTCAGAAGCATGGCTGCCTCCTGCAGAACATAGCCATTGCAGCTAGAAACCATTGAAAGTGGCAGGGAGTTCCGTAGTTTCAGTATGCGCTGTGCAAAGAAGGGCTTTCTTCTGTCTGCCCTGAGTAAGCGCTGGAACCCCTGACCCACAGAGACCAAAGGCACCACTCTTTATTCAGCTCATAGTGGTGAGGAGGAATGAAAGTCCCCTCAAAGTACCTGCTTTATATCCATTATTTAGACAATGGGCCTCACGTGATTGGCTAATTCCGGGATTCTCCTGTAGGCCAGTCAGGTTGCGGATTCACTTCCACCTGGAGCTGGATTGGGTGGCTCCTGTTGACCAATCAGGCTGCTGCATTCTGGATCCTATTGTTCTAGGGCCAATCAGGCTGCTGCATTCTGGATCCTATTGTTCTAGGGCCAATCAGACTGCTGCATTCTGGATCCTCTTGTTCTAGGACCAATCAGACTGCTGCATTCTGGATCCTATTCAACTCAGTACATAACAGGGGGGACCCCCAAAGGTACGCTTTCCAAGTTCCTTCCTAGACGCCCCGAATAATACCAAACGTGTCGACACAAATCCCAAATCTGTTGACAAAGTAGGATCCCGCCGTGCAAAGGATGCAGCCCCCGGATGGAAGGCACAGCTTTGTGTCTCCAGCAGCTCTTTGCTGCGCCATCACAATGGCGGCATCCCTGGGGCCAGGCAGGCAGAGCTCTGCCAGTGGGGCGTGGGGGGGAAAGCAGATTAAACCTTTTTCAGGAGAAGCGTTCTTTGCCGTCCCCTGTGACGCACCGAAGGAGAAGGCTGTTATCTTGGAAAGCAGCCTGGCTCTCCACCTGGGGTATTGATAGATCTGCACTGTTCCCCGCTATGTTCCTAGCAATTGTGAACCAACATGAGAATATTTGTGA